AAATAAGTAACACAACACTGTATTTAGGATACTAACATTAATGTAAAAACCACCACAGCCAGGCATGATGATACATGCCTATAGTTCCAGCTACTCTGGCATTGGCGGTATGGTGATAGGCACAGCTGCTGTCCTATAGCTCCAGCTACTCTGGACATTGAGATGGGAGGATGAAGTTTCAGGCCAGCACGAACAACACAGGAAGGCCCTACCCAAAAGAAATAAAAAACCACACAAATCTCCCTGCATGATGTACAGTATATACACGAGATACCTGGACAAGAAATAGGTTAACAATAGTTAAACCTGGAAAGAAGAAGCTACTTGGTGGCAGTGTAGGAGGTAAACCTCTTATACATCTTTTAATACTTTTAGAATTGTGAACTTATGCACAAACATTCAAAAAAAATTTAAAATGTTATTTTAAAATCTTTTACTTTTTAATAATCAATCTTCATTCTACCTATTTGACTTACAGAGAAAGGAAAAAGCGACTGACCCTGTAATACATTTGACATTAATCACTCATTTCTCTGTGATTTCTTCTTTTCTAATCATGAATCCTGTTGTTTTTTTCCTAATTGTGAATTTTGATTAACACCTTTTACTAGAAATTTTTTTCATCAGCCGGGTACAGTGGCATATGCCTACAACGTCAGCTACTTGAGAGGCTGAGGCACAAGAATGGAAGTTCAATGGCAAGGCTGGGCAACTTAATGACACTGTTTTGTTTGTTTGTTTGTTTCTGTTTTGTTTTTCTTCCGGTACCAGGAATGAACTCACCACCTTGTGCTTGCCAGGCAGGCACTGTGCTGCTGAGCTAAATCCCCAGCCCCAATGACATTGTTTTAAAAATAAAAAGAGGTGTGTGGCTGATGGTTAAGGAAGCACCTATCCTGTGTGATATCCTGGAGGGCCCAGAAGGGAAGATAACAGACCCACTGCAGCCAAAAGAAAACCACAGGTGCTACATACATGCACGAAGTTTTAGGGTTCTGAGATAATGAAAAACAGCCTGCAGTAACAAAGAACAAGAACTTTGGGAACATACATCTTGGACTTGACACACCACTTAGCTGTGTGACACAGTTACCCAATTACTTACTATCTCTGGGATTGTTTCTTTTTTTGAAATATACAGGGGAGTTACCTTATAGGTTTAATATGCGAACTCGACCAGCTAATGAACATATATGGCTTCAACAAATGCCTGACACACAGTGAATGATATACATCGATAATTAACTGTTATTCTGAAGAAATTTAGTAAAATAAGGTCATTGTTGTGGCAGTCAGAAATTAACCTGGACAGACTGGCAAGGGATACAATTAAGAGCTTTTACTGGAGGTAATGCTGCTTGCTTATCTATAATCCCAGCTACCCAGATGGCTGAAGCAGGAGGATTGTCAAACTCAAGGGTAGCCTGGGCTATTCATTTATTTGATTTTTCTGAGACAGGGTCTTGCTGTGTAGTTCACGCTGGTCCTGAACTCACTACGTAGTCCAGGCTGGCTTCAAACACATCTCCCTCAGCCTCATAAGTGCTGGGATTACAGCCATGAACCACCACACCTGGCCCAACCTGGGCAAGTTAGAAAGACCATGTCACAAAATAAAAACTAAGAAGCCAGGCATGGTTATGCATACCTATAATCCCAACATTCTGGGAGGCTGAGGCAAGAGGATCACAAATTCAAACCCAATCTGGGCAATTTAGAGATTTGGACATTGTCTCAAAAAAAAATTTTTTTCTGGTGTTTTTTTTTTTTTTTTCCCGGTACCAGGAATCAAACTTACGACCTCGTGCTTGCCAGGCAGGCACTGAGCTGCTGAGCTAAGTCTCCAGCCCCTCAAAAAAAATTTTTAAAAGGCTGGGGATGTAGTTGAGTGTGAAGGCCCTGGGTTCAATCCTATTAACAAAAAGCAACAACAGAAACAAAACTAATTCAATTCCCAATTACCCTACACACACCAAAAAAAAAAAAAACTTAAAAGGGCCAAGAATACAACTCAGTGATAGAGTACCCCTGGGTTCAATCCCCAGTATGGGGAAAGGATTGTTTAAACAGGGAAGATCTAAGTGGTAAAATCCTTTACCCCCTACAATGCCAACAGAACACAAACTCATCATATCAAGATCCTCCTCTCAAATTTTTCAAGACTCTGCCTTGCTTATAGACTACATGACAGAACCAGACTCCTACAATTTTGAACGTCTTTTCCAGTATCACTCCAATTTACCTTTATAGTCACTCAGTTAATCTACTTTCCAATTTCTCTTCAACATTAATGTATATGCACTTCACACTTTGGAGATATAAATGTCTCAGTGTTCTCAACACTCTGATAATACTACACCTTTCTGGTTCTCTCCTATCAGCAATTCCTTTTCCCATGTTTAACTAGAAATCCCACATTGTTACAGGTCAAGGCATTTTCAATGTTTAGTCTCTTCCAAATTGTATTAGAATGACTGCATTGCTACAAAATCTTCAGAAATTTACAGTTGATACGGACTTACATATCAACTCAAGTATGTATTTTTCCTCCTATTTCAGAGCTTCTTTCTTTCCTCTAAAGTGCTATGCTAAAGCCCCAAATTCCTTTTATAAAAACATAAAGATTTTAAAGACACAGTGGCATGTGCTTGTAACCCCAACCCCTTGGGAGGCCTTGCCAGAGGATTACAAATTCGGTCTTTTTTCTTTCTTTTTTATGTGATGCTGAGGATCTTACCCAGGGCCTTGTGCATGCAAGGCAAGAGCTCTACCACTAAGCCACAACCCCAGCCCTAGGGAGGATTACAAATTCAAGGCCAGCCTGGTCAATTTAGACCCTTTCTCAAAATTTAAAAAAAAAAAAAAAAAAGTGTGAGATCCTGGGTTCAATCCCCAGTACTAAGAAAAAAAAAGTTTTTAAAGGCAACCAAACCCTAAGTCAAACCAAAATGTCAGGATCACTCCATCAAGATCATCACTATAACCAAACATTAAATGTCTAGAAGTCAAAATTTAAAGGATGAGTTCTTTACCAGAGGTCCATGGACTCCTCAGGGTTACAAGGTAGTTTTATGAATCCCCTCAAATTGCATGCAAAGTATTTGTACATGCCTTTTTCTGGGGAGAGGGTCCGTACCTTTCATCAGAGTCTCAAAGATATCTGTGACCTCCAAAAGGTTAAATGCTCTAGAGAAAAAGCAAAGACAAGCAAATGTGATTAAAGAATGAGACCTGTTTGGGCCCTCAGGAATGCCTCATGTTCTTCGTATTAAAATCAGGTCAGAGGATGTTATGTAAAAATGACTTATCCAATCAAATGCAAATTTAATATAGAGCTCATAAATACTGACTTGATGGAAAGAGAAAGTCCACAAACCAATGCAAAAATCCATACATGCAAGTTATAGGACAGCTGGTGGTTTACTCCAAGATTTCAAAAATCGGACAAACAGAAAATATTAGACCTTTTATTAATATTGTTGTCATTCACCTAAAAATTCCTTTTCTGTGTCTACTTTATACACAGCAGTACAAAAGTATGTAAGTTATACAAATATATATGAAATGGTTGCTCAATTTTTCTTCTTACAGTAAGTATTAGACCACTGTGTATTCTACATATTCCAGCACTGAGAAGTTCATAGTTACTCTAGCATAACGGGAAAACCAAAAACCCATTAGAACAGTTTAGAATCCATCAGTTTAATATATCCACTTTCACAGAAAGGTAAATTACTATCCCCTAGTAATTAAAGACAGGACCTCTTGTCAGGTGTGGGGGACACACCTATAATCCTAGCACTCAGGAGGCTGAGGCAGGAGGACTGCAGAGTTCAAGGCCAGTCTGGGCTACATACTGAGTTCAAGCCCAGCCTGAACTGCATTGTGAGACCCTGTCCCCCAAAAAAGGACCTCCTCCTACGATTATTCCACTTATTTTTTTGTTTGTTTGTTTTATTAAAGCTCATCAGGCATTAAAGTTCAAAAGATCAGCTTTCAATTTCATCTAAATCAGCCTGGTTTGTCCATGGTTCCTGGGTAATGTAACCAAAACATCCAATGGGAAAACTACTTGTGAAATCACAAAGGGACAACTAATCAAGATATTCTCTTCATTCTTCCTAAAAGAAACTACTCTCCTAATAATCTAAGCATAAGAAAGCTACCCAGATTTCCAAAAGGCACAACTTAAAATACAGGTAACTCCTATGAGTCAGTGTCACCCACTGGTGACACCAAGAGATGCAGGGTCTATCCACGATATCAAACAGGATAGACAACCGTAACCTTGGAATTGTTTTTCCAAAATACTACAGCTATTTCTCTTTCTCTGGTGGTTGAGGGCGTCCTGAGAAAGCCGGCAAATAACCTCATGAAAAAATTCAAAAACTTTCAAAGCGGAGGTGTTTACAGTTTTACAAATTCTTAAAGTTGCCTCAACTCCCAAGTTCTACGAAGAGGCTTCTCTTCCGAGACCTCTCCCTGGTTCCAAAATTCGCCCAGGAGGCGTTACCCCACCTAGGGTAAGGGAATGAGAGCATGTTCCGGATCACGTTCGGGACGTACTCAGATATAAACAAGCAGCAATGCCATGGTGTGCTAACCAGGGAATCTCAGCTCCGGACAACACCCAGGAAACCTCCACCTCGGGAAGAAAGCCCCTGAGTCCGTAGGGGCAGGAGGGACCCCTGACGCAACGCGGCTCTGACGAGGCGAGAGGAGGGTAACAGGTAGAAGGCGCCCGTACAGTCCGTTGGAGAAGGGTGAAGGTCAACACAAAGGTGAGGCGAGCCGAAAGACGGGGTAGAGAGAGAGAGGGAGAAAAACGGGAGACGAAATAGGAAATTAAGCAAAGCAGGCACAAAAGAACGACGGAGGAAGCCGGGAAACGCAGCGGAAAAGGCTGCAGGGAGAGCACGGAGGATAAGAAGGCGCGAGCCACCCTATACAATTCGGTCCCCAGAGAAGCCCACCTCAGTCCTTCCCCCGCCTCAGAGTACCTTCAGTTTGTGGAGCTCCACCGTCTCCGCCGCCATCTTGCTATCCCGCCACTCCGCCGGCCCCCACCCGTTTCCTCCGCCCCCAGACGCTCCCGCCTAGGCATAGACTCAGGTCTGACCAATCATGGCCGCTCTTACTCCCATCCCACTATCATCGGCTCTTCCCATTCGTCAATGCCCTGTGTCAGTCCCACGCTTCGGGGCGACTTTCGCCAGCTCTTTCCAGAGGTGGGACCGAGAGAAGGGCGGGCTCTGCCCGGTCCAAAGACGGAAAGGGTGACCAATTGTACCTGCCCACTGCCGACCGCCAGCCAATCAGTGACAGAAGCGAGGAACCTGCTCCTCCAATAGAAAGAGCACGCAGACGAGGGGGCGGGTACTTCCTAGAGACCACAGGTGTAGGAGGAAGCACCTCGCCCCTAGGTGCACCGGCTCTTCAGGCTGGCAGGTAGGGGCTGCCGATAAATTGAAGAAGCCTACTGGGGGTAAACGGTGGGAGGCGGGAAGTGCGGCGGGAAGGCGGAGAGTTAAACAGCAAGAAGAGTGCTGAAGGGAGTCTGAAAGGAACCGAAGCGAAAGAGGGAAGCTGGGAGGGGCGTGGGGCGGGATTAATACCAGGGTTTAGGGAATTTGGGGGCGGGCGTTATCTGCTGTAGAGCTAGTACGATTTTAAAGCGACACGTTCAGACAACTGCCGCCCTAGCAGGGTTGGGACTCCCATTTCTTCAAGCAGTGAGTCTGGGTGGCTTTCTTGTTCAGTTCACAAGCCGTGGGTAAGTTCTTGCACCGCCCCGCCCTTAAAACAGGGAGTGGGATTGTTGGCTGCCGACATGCCCAGCGGGTGAGAGCTGCGGCGGACAAGCCCCAGAGGAAAGGCTGTGGGCTGGGGTAGTTTTTACTCTCTCATCCCTTCTCATCGGTCTTGATTGACCATGACTGTTCTGTAATTCTGGGCATATGGGATCTTTTCATGGTTCATTCCTAACTTCTCAAGTAAAGTGAGATACTGTTTACCCTGCTCCTTGACGTGGTCCCCCAAGCCTAGGCATTTTTCAGGTTACAGCTTTAGTATGACAATCAGAGTAAAAATGCCCCCCCAAAGGAGGGAAGACTCTTCTCACATTTTAAACTTTTTTTTTTGAGACAGGGTCTCATATGTACGCAGTTCAGGGCGGCCCTGATGTATGGTGATCAGGCCAGGTGATCAAATTTGGGGTGATCTTCCTGTCTCAGACTCCAGAGCCCTGGGATTACAGGCTTGGGCCACCATGCCCAGCATCTTTTAAACTTTTTTCCAGAATCTTTACTTTTTCCTTTCCGCATGGTAGGGAAGTTTCTGCTGGAGTTCAGAGCATTTTGGTTCTTCAGGGAGGTGACTGGGGTAAACACACTCCAACAGGAGCTGAGAGGAAATTAAGTTGGACTCCTGCCTGATCCCCTCATTGTGATAGGATGAATGTGGGGGTGGCGCACAGTGAAGTAAACCCCAACACGCGGGTGATGAACAGTCGGGGCATCTGGCTGGCCTACACCATCTCGGTAGGACTGCTGCACGTCGTCTTACTCAGCGTCCCCTTCCTCAGCATTCCTGTTGTCTGGACCCTGACCAATGTCATCCACAACTTGGTAAGTACAAACCCACACCGTGTATCCCCGCCCCCCAGCTTTCCCTGCCAAAAACATCACCGATTGGGGGTTGGTCGTCCTTTGGGGACTTCATGTAATTCTTGGGCTGAAAGACTGCTCTGTGCCTCTAACACTGTCCCTTTCCCTCTTCTCAGGCAATGTATGTCTTCCTACACACAGTGAAAGGAACACCCTTTGAGACCCCCGACCAAGGAAGGGCTCGCCTGTTGACACACTGGGAGCAGATGGACTATGGGCTCCAGTTTACCTCCTCCCGAAAGTTCCTTAGCATCTCTCCTGTTATACTGTGAGTTTGTGGTGGGCAGGGGAGATGCTAGGTTAAAAACAGCTCCAAGAATCAGGTGGAAAAGTCCATAGGAAAGCTTTGAAAAAGCAGCCAGGCGTGGCAGCACACGTTTGTAATCCCATCCCTTGGGATGCTGAAGCAGGAGGATCACGTGGAGTTTGAGGCCAGCTTGAACTGCATAGTGAGACCTTGTCTCAAAAAACAGAAGTGAAAGCGGCAGACTACCCATCTAAGTTGCTTTGAAGATAACTATAGTATCCCAGTTCTGAGCCTACAGAGCGCAGTAAAAAGTAGATGGTAATCAAGCACTCCTTGGTGCCTCCTTGGTACAGAGGAATGGAGAAGGGACTGAGAAAAGATATCTCTGCTAAAACCAAGTGTCTTTACCCTTCTAAAAGAAGTGAGTATATCAAGGTAGAACTGATACCAATCTTCAAAAACTGACTGGAGAGTGGAAGCAAAGAGGACTCTAACAGTCACACAGGCTGAAACAGCTTTCACTGTCATTTGTCATTAACAATTAACAAATACAGACTGGTTTATAATCTTCAGTTAAAGGTGCTGCCTGATTATCTCAATCCCAAAGTAAATGCTGTTGATATAGCTGGAGTATTTTTAGATATCCAAGAACTGCATGCAATCAAACTGACCATTTAAGAGAGAAGAGATCACTGGAAAGCCATGAATGTGTACAGGGAAGGCCAAACCTCACTCGTCCTGTTTTTTTTCTCTCCCAGCTACCTCCTGGCCAGCTTCTACACCAAGTACGATGTTGCCCACTTCCTCATCAACACTGCCTCACTGTTTAGCGTACTGCTGCCCAAGCTGCCCCAGTTCCATGGGGTTCGTCTCTTTGGCATCAACAGATACTGAGGGGGAGGGCTGAGGACAGCCCCACAGGCATGGAGAAGGCACCAGAGCAAAAGACCAGAACATCTTTCCCTTCTCCACATTGTCTTTTGTTTCTTGAAAGCCTGAGAACGGTACAACCCTTCCCAAACTCAGGAAGAGATGAGACAAGAAAGTGGAACTGTTGGGTCCAGCCCTGCTAAGGGCAAGACTGAGTCAGGAAAGGCAAACGGGGTTAAGAGCCGCATCACTGTCCTCTACAACAGGAAGCCATATGTAGGCAGTTTGTTTGATGATGGCACTGCCAGTATTTTTCATCCTTACCACTTTCCTACTCTGTTTTGCTGTGTATGTATTTTCCTTATAATAAAGATAATTTTTTTAGCTGTGGCTGTAATTTGATCAGCAAGAAAGCAGAGAAGCCAGGGCTGGGGATTTAGCTCAGGGGCAAAAGCACCTGCCTGGTAAGTGCAAGGTCGTGAGTTCGGTTCCCGGTACCGAAGATAAACCAAAAAAAAAAAAAAGCAAACTGGTAAAATTTATGGGGCTGGGGATTTAGCTCAGTGGCAAAGCACCTGCGTGGCAAGCGCAAGGTCGTGAGTTCAGTTCCCGGTACCAGAGAAAAACCAAAATAAATAAATAAATAATAAATAAATGAAAGCAGAGAAGCCAGATAAGGTGGTGCACACCTGTAATCCCAGCACTCTAGGAGGTTGAAGCAGCAGGATTGCAAATTCAAGGGATCCTCAGTGAGACCCTGTCTCAAAGTAAAAAATGGCTGGAGATGTATGTCAGTCCAAAGGCTCTGGATCCAGTCCCCAGTGCTGGCGGAAAAAAAGCAGGGAGATGTCCTCATAACATTGGGGAAGATGGAATACTAGCTTACTGTACAAAACTTGAAGCAGTTTTTTATCCTTTGGCCCAGCAGCAGGTGCGCTTCAGTTTCAGCTCACAGTAGGAAAAGATTATCAAGTGAGAAAAAGGGCCCCAGCTATATGGGCAAAAAAGAGAGGGAAGATACAGGTTGCCAGTTATACGTTTATAGAAAGATAATCCCCTGGCTTTAAATAGCTATGTACATAAAAATATGAACAAACTTAAAAAAATACAAACCCTTGGATAACAAGGAGGCTTGTGAGAACTCCCCTGTCATTCTCCCTTACCCAAGGGCAGAGGGCATGAGTCTGCTTTTTAAAAATTACTAATTTTGGCCATTCTTGCAACAACAAGCCTGAAGTTGGGTGATTTACCCACAAGGTGAAAGTCAAGAAAAATTCATTGTTTCTGCTCTGTGAACTCTGTGCCTCTGGAAAATCAGGGCTACATGCTTCCTTGTTCTGTCTTTTAACTAGTGTTACCGGGCTGATGGAGACTCCTCCCTAAAATGGACCAAGAAATAAGACTCGTGGTTTAAAAGGGTGGGGGATCATCGGCTCTAAAGGCAAATGACGAGACAAAGGCATACCAACCCCAGAGAAATACTCACTTCCCACCCCTCGGGGACATATTGTCCAACCCAGTTCTGGGCCCCAGGTTTGATCTAGCCATCCCTATTTCTTTGGTATTGTCAGAAGACAAGATTCAGTTCCTGGGTGCTTCGGTTGGAGGGATAGTGGTTCAGGGGCCTCCTATAAGTACTAGTGAACAATTTAAGCTTAAAATTTTCCCTTTTTAAAATCTTTAAAAATAAACAAGTCAAACTCCATCCTGTGCTATACACAGCCCTTTTGACTCCCTGACATTGATCGGAGGAAAGTAGAGAAGGGGAGTCAACGCTGGAAGGGCCGCCTCACTTTCTTCCTCCGCTTGGGTTTGGTTTCTCCCTTGGGTACTGTGCTGCTGGGCTTGGAGGCTGCAGTGCCCCCAGAGTCAGGCTGAGGAGCTGCAAAGAAGTTCCCTTTGGACATCTGGCCTGGGGGTACTTGAAAGATCCGGCTCAAGAAATCCTGAAGGTCAGCAGGAGAGGCGTCTGAGGGGGCTCTAAGAAAAATAGTAAGAGGTATTAAAAAGTCATATAGCTGCTTTTGTTAGAACAGTGAATTCTCAAACTTCTTAAAAATGATACACTTTTTAAAAAAATGATACACTTACTGTATTTTCCCAAAATAAGATCAGGCCTTATATTAATTTTTGCTCCAAAAGATCTAATGGGGCCTATTTTCAGGGATGTCGCTTTTTTTTTCCTCATGCGTAACAATCTACATTTATTCATTAGAAAAATTTACACTTATTCAAATACAGTCATGTCATCTTCTGGAACATCATAACTCTAACCCTAACTCCAGCCTGAATTTCTTGCCACTCCATTTCCTATAGAACCATTGGCCTTAATCACTCACGTCCAGCAACAGACCTCTTCTTTAATGAGTACTACTTGTCCATGTAGCCTGCTTGTAGTGCATTGTTAAAACTCACAACACAGTGAATTATAGAGTCATATTAGACACAGCCATGTCCGTTCGCTATCAAGTGTACACACTGTACATTGTGTCTATACTCTGACATTAGTAAGTCTCAAGTTCACCTGTTTACTAAGCATTTACCTCTCGTCCAAAGGTGCCCACTGGGCATTTACAGATAATTATAATTGATAATTACCATTTCTTAAGGTATTAAATATCAAACTTATATTCTTGTATTAATAATATTTTATCATACAATACATCCATCACATGTTGCAACATACATCTGCTGGACAATCTCTTATTTTGGGGGTAGGGTTTATATCATGAGCATCCTTAAAAATCATGGGAGGACTTATTTTCTGGTTAGGTCTTATTCTCAGGGAAACACAATATGTGTCCTTAACAGCAGGTCATCTGAAATCACTTTCAAAACTGGAACAGTGCACGGATAACAGAGAGATACCACCTACCTCTGCCGACCACTGGTGCCCGGGATCCGAGAGCCAAATGAGATGTGATAGGGAACTTTGTGGGTATCAGGGGAGATTCTCACACGTTGACATCCAGCCCACTCTGCAAACAGGAAAGATAATTCGTCAAAATATTGTAACTTTGGGCCAGGTGTGGTGGCACACACCTGCAATCCCAGCACTTGGGAGGCTGAGGTAGAAAGATCACTGTGAGTTTGAGGCCGGCCTGAACTACATAGTGAGATCCTGTCTCAAAAAAAAAAAAAAAAATGCTTGGAGCACATGAGGTGAAAGAAGTATGATCCCATATTTTTCCACATCAAAAGTATACCCATGGGGGCTGGGGATTTAGCTCAGCGGCAAAGTGCCTGCCTGGCAAGCGCAAGGTCGTGAGTTCGGTTCCCGGTACCAGAGAAAAAACAAAAACAAAAAAAAAAAGTATACCCATGAGCTGGGCAGGCATGATGTTAGAGCACACTTGCAATCCCAGCACTGGGGAAACTGAGGCAGGAAGATCACCAAGAGTTCATGGCTAGCTTGAACTACACAGTGAAACCCTGTCTCATAAAACCAAAAAAGAAAAAATATATACCTGTGATGTCATAGACCTTTCCATCCATTAGTGCAAAGTAGGTAATCTTGAGCCCCAACATGCTTGACTCTGCCCAAAAGTCTCCTTCCTGAGCGGGATGCAGCCTGTTACACTCAGCACAGTATCTGGCACTCTTAGGTTCACGGTCCATCTCAAACCTCCTACAACATAACAAAGGGTAGTTCCTTAGCACTCCAGGTCCTTAGGGCACTGCTAGTAGTTTCTTTTTTTCTTTTTCTTTTTTGTCCTTTTGAGACAAGGTCTCGCTATGCAGTTCAGGCCAGCCTTGAGCTCACTTTGTAGCCCAGGCTGGTCTCAAACTCACAACGATCCTCCTGCCTCTGCCTCCCGAGTGCTGGGATTACAGGCATGCGCCACCACGCCCAGCTAGAAGTTTCACCATTACTGTGAGATACTGCCAAGATACTGAAAATGACCTCCACTGTTGTTACCTAATTACCCTCCCCTCAACTTTCTATCTTAAAGCTGATCTTTTTTCTTACCGCTAGTTTGAATCCTCAATCTCTTGAGAGTAGGGCAAAAGTAGAAACCTCTGGGTCTTTTTCTCTTTGTGTCCCACAATTACCAATAAAACAAGAAAGGCCTGGGGTTACCTAACCTCTAAACTGTGGTCCTCCCACCCTTGTCCTGTTTCATACCGATGCTTCCCTTGGCACCGACTACACATCATAGTATTCATTGCTTCCTTGAGGTCATCTTGCAACTTAGACAGAAACTCATTCACCGACCGGCTCAGCTCATTCTCTGCCATTCGCTTCCTGAAAGAAGAAAGGCTTTGTAAGTCTGACAGTATTGAGGGAGAGATGAAGAGACAGCTCTGTTCACCTCTTGAGGCTCCTGGCTAGCTATAAAGACAGGCATCAGTCCTCTCCGTCTCAGAGTTTATCCACAAGCTCAGTGGCTTCTATTGAAGATTCTTCAATTAGCCCTCCTGACAGTGTCTCATCTAACTTACATCTCATATTCTTTCCGCCTTTCAGGGTTGCTGACAATGTCCCAAGCTGCCCTTAAAACCTTGAAGGCCTCCTCAGCCCGGGGATGATGGTTTTTATCAGGATGAACCTACCAAGACAAAAAGAGGCTTCATCACAAATCACACATGGATTTATTACAGATCAAAGGATTCCCTTTCATTTTAGAGAATCGATATAGCTTGACGATTAGTTACTCTGGCTCTGCAGACAGACCGGGGTTCCAGTCCGAGCTGTCACTTAACTCTGTAACTTGGAATATTTTACCAACAATATATTTTGGGGAGGATTAAATTAAGAATATGTACGAGGTATACAGGACAGAATCTGGCATGACAGTGAGCCACTGTAGTGGATTGATAACTGGTGGTCAACTTATA